CCAATGAACCTTCCTCCACCAGTTCTTCTGCAATGATTAAGGGACCGAAAGGTCTCGGCTAAGATGGTCGGTGCTGGGTTGACTTGCCTTGGAAATTGTTCAAATAATTCTACTACGGCTGCGTCAATGCATCCCAAAACCTTCAGAAAGATGATCAAGCCATACAGACCTAGTGCAAAAAGGTCTATAGTCTTCCATTCATCAGGGTGGTCCTTTATTAGTTGCCTTATGTGGATCCACTCAATTCTTTGCCCGTTACCTTTGTGCCGGAGTCGATCAGTCACCCACTTTTCATCAACCCCTACAATCTTGGCCAATCCGTTCTTGAAAGGCTGAATCTTGATATGTTTAATATATGCCCTCTCTAGTTTGATGCTTTCGCAGTGCAGTAGTGTGGTATACTCTTCGATAGTGGGCACCATGTCCTCCAAGTTAAAGGTGAAGCAACTATATCCCGGGTTCCAGAATTGAATCAGTGCTCGGAGCAGGGGCTCATCAATCTTGACATGAAGTAAGAGGGCAATATCACCATATCGTTGGCTGAACTTCTGCTTTCTGTCATTCTTCCAACTGTCCCAAATGTTTCGCAACTCTTGGACATCATTCTGTTTCAGGCTGACAGAGGCATAGCTAACCAGCTCTGACACGTAGTTCCCCTGAAGAATGTCTCCCTTATCTTTCTGAGTCATCTCGGACCATAGTCGTGCCTCGGCGTTCTTAATCTCTTGTATTACAACACCTTTGTCCATTAATTCAGATTATTTTGTGTGTAACAAACGCTTTTTAAGGATCAATAGCCTCTTGTTATGATGCAAATGATAAAAAAACAAACACAAAGACAGAAATGTTAGTAAAATAAATAAATAAATAAATAAATGACGAAAGGAAAAAAAGACATGGTTAGGTAAAAAAATCTTAGATTTCAGAAATGTGGTTTCAGGGTAGGCTCTAATTCTCCATGGTCTCCCAGTTTAGGTTCTAGAAACGGTACCTGAGTTCTCCTTGTTGGTGCCCCCTTGGGCTTACCAGACCCTTAATCCTAAACCCATCACAGGCTTGTATAGACTAAGTTAAACTCGAGAGGAAACATTCCCTTATGCCCACATGGAGAATAAATTCACACGAAGGCATAAGGTATATGTATCCCGAAGGCTACTTGCTAGGCCCACACGGTGAATAAATTCACACGAAGGCGTCGCTTTCACCCCCACTTAAAAGGGTTCGGAGCTCGGGTATAGAGCCTTTGGATGAAAAAGTTTGGAAAGCTGAAATCATTATAAAACGGTCAGTCCAACTATTTACTCGAAAAAAAATATAACCAGAAGTAAGTAATAAGGATCGAAATGTTGCCTTAAAATTCAAACTTACCCTTTTCGTTAAAAAGACAACTGGAAATTACCTTAGCCTGACTCGCTTACCTGCGTCCCCAGCGGAGTCGCCAAGCTGTCGCAACCGTCTTTCGGTTGGGCCCCCGGAATTGGGCTTCGACTTAGGTAAATGGATTGGAGTCGCCACGGATCATTTATTTAAAACAAATGGGTTGATCGGATACCCTATTTCTTACCTGATCTGCGTCTTACCAGAAATATGTCGGGCTCGGGAGTCGGTTACGGTCAAGGAAGGATTAGAACCCTTGAACCGCCCTTTCGGTACTACGTAATTTTCAGTTGTCTTAATTAAGAAAATTGTAATTTTAAATTAAAAGGTAAAAATAACGATCCAAAACTTACCTATGTTCGATTGAAAATGTACCCTTAAAGAGTTGAGAAACATGTTAGATATAAAAAAATAAAATAAAATAAATAAAATAAATCAATCAATTCAACCAAAATAAAAAGAAATAAAATAAAATAATAAATAAATAAATAAAGCATAGAAAAATGATAGTAAATAATAGTATAAATATAAAATAAAAAAGGTAATATATATAAATAAATAAAATACGCATAAAGAAAATAAAGCAATAAATATAATATATATAATAATGATAAAAGGTAATATACGTAAATAGATGTTAGAATGAAACATTAAAATACATATATGTAGTTATATGTACATAATATATATATATATACGAATAAAAAGAAGAGGAGGAAACAAATAATAATATATAAAAAATATATAGATATAATTGTTAGTGAAAATAATAACAAATAAAATATAGTATAATAGGTAAAAAATGCGAAATCAAGAAAATGAATTAAAATATGAAGGGATTAAATTGGAACAAAAAAAATCAGGGGTCAAATTTCGAAGTAATTGGGGGAATATTAAATACTTAAAAAAATGAATATGCCTCGGGAGTAGATCTATGTTCGAAACTTCGAAACCCCACCCCTTTTTGGTCATCGGCGCAACCCACGTTTTAGGTTATTCGAACCAAATCTCAAGAAAAATAACGTGTACATGCAAAAAAAAAAGATAAAAAAAGATGCTACCTTTTATTTCCTTTTCGAATCGTTTACAATAGCTTTGCCTTTGTATTTTTCGTGCTTTCCTCTGTGTTTTGTGCGTAAATCGTGTCTTACAATGGTGAGTTACAATGGCTATTTATAGTGCTTGTGAATCCTATCTTTAGGAATTTAAATCTTAGTAGAACTCTATCCTATTTTTAGGAGTTTGAATCCTAGCAAAATGTTATCCTATTTTTAGGAGTTTGAATCCTAAAATTCTATCTTATTTTTAGGAATTTGAATCCTAGTAGGACGAAAAATGTGTGTTGACACTATATATTTTAATTTTTTATGTATTTTCTATTAAAAATATATTTTTTGTCTACATCAAATTTTATATGTTTGTCTCTTTTTAAAATTTTAGAAGTTCACTCCTAATATAAAATTATGCATTTGCCCATATACATAAACTTTATCATAATCAATCATTATAAAGTAAAAATAGATGAATTGATAACCATAATATATCTATATAAAACTCACCCTTAATAAAATTTAAATCAAAATAAAATATAAATTAAAAATCATACATATATAAATTATGATTAATGAAAGTTAAACTCAATCAATCTCGTCACATCCAATTAATTTCAATCCTTAATTTCTAGGATTCATGGTGGACAACGAATTTAAATTTTTTTATGGTTTCAACTTTCACTTTACTAAAATAGAATTGACTTTAAGGCGTTGACTTATCTCATTTTGAAAAATTCACAAATTTTCTTAATATGAAAAAGACCACACATATTAGGAGTCATTTTAGTTGTTTGGTAATCCGCCTTTGTTAAACCAATTCCACTTTTGCTTCTTCTATTTTGTTGCTTTATAAAAATAAAAACAGAGAATTAAAATGGAAGAATTAAAGAATTCATCGGGTAAAGAGAGTATTGTTCTCTCTTAGTTTTAGTTTCAAGTAGTTGTATCTGTAAGATATGATATTCTCGTAATCATCCCAGCAAATAGAAGAATTAAATTCTTGCCTTTTATAAGGATAAACTACATTAGAGATTATTGGATTATATAAAAAAATATTAGGTAAAGTACATAAATGGTCCCCGACTATAAGGTATTGTTTTATTAAGTCTTTCGACTATTAAAAGTTAAAAATAGTCACTTGATTATTCATTATGTTCCAAAGTCATCATTTTTATTAAAAAATTAGTGGTTGTCTATGTTGGACGTTAGCATGATGACTGAGATATGATAATCATTTGAGATTCCGAGATCAAATTTTATCATATCACAGTTAGCAGGTTAACGTTTAGCTTAGAATAATGTCAATTTTTAATGAAAAGAGACAAATTTTGAACATAATGAATAGTCGGGTGGCCATTTTGTAACTTTTAATAGTCAAGGGACTTAACAAAGTAACACTCTAGAGGACCATTTTATAACTTTTAATAGTCAAAGGACTTAACAAAGTAGTACAATATAGTTGAGGGACCATTTGTGTACTTTACCCAAAAATATTTTGGTTAATAAACTTATAAATATTAAAAAATAGTCATTATTTTTTAAAATAATTACAAAATAGTCACTAAATTTCATCAAATTGCTATTAAAGGGATTTTAAACTAAAGTATTACAAAATGATCCTTAAATTTATCAAAATTATTACTACTTTAATATTGCAAGGGACTATTATGTATCCATTTAAGAAATTTAATGATCATTTTATAAGATTAGAAAAGTCATTGACTAAAAAGATTATCTTTACATAATTTATCGACCTTTAGTATAAAGAGAGGGTGAATTCATAATTAAAACAAAGGCAAGACTATTAATTTGTTACAAAAGGTAAACAACTTCAATAGTCACTTAACTACGAGGAAGATTCTATTTTTTTTATTAATTTAAGGTAAATACAAGATAATATTTATTCAAATATAACTCTCAATCACTTTACATTAAACCTTCACATTTTTGGTATTTTTAGTGCTTCAATTCGGAATCTCAAAAAATAATAACAATTCTTTTATCACCAAGATCGTTTGATTCGTGTGAGGAAGCTTCTATTTAGATCATTGAATTATAAATTTTATCAATCATATCATTTAATTATTTAAATGATATCAATCAAGTCATTCACCGTTAAAGATTAATGAGAATGTTAATTGAATAGTCTATTTGATATATTGATTGATTATTCCTAATTAAGTTTTGTAGATATCCATTTTGAGGAATAATACTCCTATCCCAATTTATTTGATTATCGGTGCCAAGAGCCAAACTCCTAACCTTATTACAGATATTTTCCTTGTCAATTTTCTATTAGATAAATTGGTTGATGGTAATTTTTTTCCTTTTATTAAATTAATAATGAAAATAATTCGATTTAAAATGATTTCTCTCCCATTTGTCCAAGCATCCCTTGAAATGTCAACCAACTTTGGTAATTTCCAATACAATAACCCCGTAGACCACTTGAACCAAATCCATATTATATAAACTACAGAATCTCTACCACACATATAATTCCATTATATATAAATAACGTTTCAACTCCAAGCAACAATCTCCCACCAAGCCAAAAAAACAGAACAAAAAAAAAAAAATTGGGCCATGGCAGAAGAATTTAATGCAGGGATTTGTGAAGAAACATGGTGGAATCCGACGAAACCCATGTTCACAGGGTGTAATTCTCCGCTGTTTTCTGATATCGGAAGCTTCGGGTTGGGAACCGATATGGTTGACATCAAGGCAAGGTCCAACGATTCTGATCATAATTATGGCACCAGTATTTTGATTGATTCCACCTTACAGATGATGGGGTTCGGTCTTTCATCGTCCACAACATCAGACTGGAACCAGTTTTCCCTGTAAGTAATTAATTTGATGTTCTTTGATGATTAAATATGAAGCTGTTGTGGTTGAAGTTTTCGAGTACATGTACTTGTTTCATCGTCTTCTTTGCTTGCAGTCGGAGTAATGGGAGAACCGAGTGTTTTGATTCGATTACGCAAGAAGTTACCGGTTCAAGGTTGAGTTCCGGTGAAGATTGTCAGGGGTTATCTTCTTGTTTTTCGATGGGTTCAGCCTCAAATGACTGCGCATCGACGCTGTTACAAACTTTGTTCGAAATCGATCCACAAGTACCCCAACAACAATCACTTTTCAACGACCAGTCAATCAATTACATGTCTTCCACCGCCACTTACAGTGGTGCTCCTTCCATAAGGCCAGCATTGACAAAGCAGCAGCACCCTGCAGGTGGCTTGCAATTCTCCAACGACACATCCTTCTGGAACGCTTCCGCCACAGCAACATGTGTAAACGACGTTAAACCCGGCTTTTCGCCTTCGCCGTTCGAAGAGAAACCGAATTGCTCCAGCCCGACGACGAAGGTTAATTAATAAAATTTGATGAGACATATAAAAGCATACAATTCTTGTTGTTCATTCATTGGAATTGGTATTCGCAGACTAATGTCGAAGAAGTTCAAAAAAACTCAAGTTCAGTGATGAAGAAAGGAAGTAGTACTGAAGCTCCATTGAAAAGGCCAAGACTTGAAACTCCATCGCCATTACCAACTTTTAAGGTACCATCCTGCATAAATTTGACCAACTTTTAAGCTGGAGCATCAATTTACTGTATTTTTTTTATCAGGTTAGGAAAGAGAAGCTAGGGGACCGAATCACTGCCCTCCAGCAACTGGTTTCACCGTTCGGAAAGGTAAATTTTTGGAATTTTCTTCTACGTAATTAAAATCCTTACTTTGGGTTAATCTGTATGTTTTTACTTTCTTTTTTCTACAGACTGATACTGCATCAGTTCTACATGAAGCCATCGAATACATCATGTTCCTCCATGATCAAGTCAATGTATGTTCCACTTCCATACATCAAGTTCTAAATTTGGACCGAAGTAATGTTTCTTTTACGTGATTTCAGGTATTAAGTACTCCATATATGAAACAAGCAACAGCTTCCATACAACAACAGGTATTAATAAACACCAACTAGTACTATTCCAATTAATAATGAAAAAAGTTGCTTGTTCGGACAAATTGTATTTTTTTCTTGTCTCGCAGAATACTGATAAGTTGAAATACCAAGAAGGACCGAAACAAGACCTAAGAAGCCGGGGGCTGTGTTTAGTGCCGGTGTTGAGCACATTCCCTGTTACCACTGAGACCCCGGTTGATTTCTGGACACCGACGTTTGGTGCAGCTTTCAGGTAGATCAGCAAAATGGAGCTGTACAACAACTCCAGCAATAGTAATAGAGTATCTAGAAAGAGAGCTACAAGAGAACAAAAGATAAAGGACAAGTGCAGCTCCAAAGATGGTCAGCTGCTACAAAGCAGGAATGATAATGTAGGGCTAGCAATAGGAAGACAACCATAGGTTTTCTTTGTCTTTTTCAATAATCCAAGTTTTTTTACATGTTAATTATGGTTTGGAGGTGATTAGCAATAGGACCAGGTGCTAAATTCAGTTGAAATCAACATTAATTTCAACTTTTAATATTAAATTCTGTGTCTTGTTGTTTGTTGACATTAGAAGCTGAAGTTAGCAGAAGCGGGGGCTAAAACAGCCTCCTTTGTTCCTGTTGGGTACATGTATATGTAGTCGTCCATTTCATCATCATCAATAAATAAACGAATATTATTGTTATTTATTATATTTATATTATTTAAAGATCAAATTTATAATTTTATGACGTGTTAATCTTTTATGATTAAGGTGTAGGTTTTAAGATGATTTTTTTTATCAACATCAATCTCTTATATATGTAGGAGGCTTACTATGACTCAACTATTTACTTCTTTCAATGGAATACTTGTACAAAGACCTATGTAGGTCTATTTCCCCCCTCAAATTTTTGCTTTCAATCAGCTCTTATAATCACGAGGTATAATGCAAGTTTATTAAGTAATGCCAAAGAAAAAAAATGATAACAAATATCAGAGAGAACATATTAAAGAGCTTAATATATCAAGAATCCAAGGAAGCTTAATATTGTTGAAGAATCACCTGTGACAAGTGACTAATCATTAATTTTTCGTATCTTTTTTAAATAAAATAAAGTGCTTTTTGATTATTAGATTATTGATTGATATTGTCTTGACACCAGCTTTCTTTTAATTCAGCTTTTAGTGAAATGGAGTTGATCTGTTGGCGACCATTATTATATACAGAATATTTTGATCATTGGGTGTTGAATTGGTACTTCGGTGTATATTAATGGAGATAAATCCACTGATTTATTCTTGAAGGATCAATGCAAGTCCGTGACAAGATGTAGAACAAGTAAAAGGAAAAAAGTGAAGAAAAAAAACAAACAATTCACGCTTATAGAGTTGAAAATAGTAAGTGAAATATCATGAAGCTGATCCCTTGAGCTTCTTTGCAATGTCAGCAAAATACTTCCCTTGGTGAAAAGCTTCTTTGCAATGTAGAACAATTCACGCTTATAGAGTTGAGTGATTGAAGTTAAGCAAAAGAAAATTCTCCCGATTAGAAATTATTTTGGAAGTTACTAATTTTGATACTTTGTTAATAGTCAAATGGAGCAAATTTACTCACGGGGTAGTCTCTTGTCCACCTCCTTGGGAGCCAGTGCTGTAGAAAATCCCAGCTGGCTTGCCAGCAAGGGCCTGTGTTCTCCACAAACCACCTGTTGCGTCCATGAAAGCCTTGAACTGTGCAGACATCATACCGAATCTCGTAGGAAAGCCGAAAAGCACACCATCCGCCTCGGAGAGCTCGTCTGGTGTAATGATAGGGGTGTCGGGCTTCGGCGGTGCATGCATTTTTCATAGAACTTCCTCCGGTAGTGTTTCGGGGACCTGTCATGGTGCCCAATTGACAATATTAGGTCCATAATGAGCAAAACAAGTAATCCGACAGGATAAACCATAGTGAGCATAATCAAACCTGCCAAAGTTTGGCTTCGACTCCCTCAACAGATTCAGCTCCTTTCTTAATCTCCTGGGACAGCTTCTCGACATGTCCATACATGGAATAGTAACTGCACCAAATGATAACGAATTTAATGTTGTTTAAATATAATCGAAGTTTTTATGATTACCGAACATCTAAAGATCTCGAATCGAAAAAGAAAAAAAAAGGAAAGAAGTGGATGATGGGGCACCCCATATCCTATATATATATATATATACATAACAATTTTCTTTCTAGAAGGGAAAACGAAAGGTGATATTGAAGAAGTATTATATAAGCTTATCTGTAAGCATTAAAAGCCATGAAAAAGAAAGTCACTTTGTAAATTACACGCACAAAAGAAACCGAGTTACCATAATAATGGACCGCTTGGACCATGTTTCTCGTCACAATTTCAATGGTAGGTCATGTTTCACCATCACTTTCTTTTGGTTTCTTGCTAAATACGAGCAATTTCTGTCTGGTCTTTTTCCCTTGGATGATTGAACACAGCTTACTCATATTAAGTACAAATCATGCTCTACACGCCTTAAAATCTAACCAAAATTTCAAAGTTGATCCAAACGGTACATGTAGATATGACTAAATTTGACTCATCGGATCTAACAATTATTGCTTTGAGTTAGGATTGAAATTTCAAAATCCAATAAGTGGAGGGATTAAGATGCTCAAATTGCAGTATAAGACTTAATCTGAAATTTATGCATAGTACAGGGACTAATGACAGGATCCGACCGGATCTTTTTCTACTGAGTTTTTTTTTTTTTGAAAAATTGGTACTTTGTATTAGATATTACAAAGTAAACCACCAAATATCTCATTAAAAACCTCCCTAAACCTAGTTGGAGAAAAAAGAGTAAACCTTGAGATGGAATAAAAGATACAGACAAGACCCACATTACAACAGGACACAAATCGAAAAACTACGACCATTTAACAGCCCATAACAAGGTACCAAAATATAGTTATCTACTATCCCCTAAAGGAAATACAAGATAGGAGCTACACAAATCCAAACATTGACCCAACCCCTACTGCATTCTTCGAACTGTAATACAATCGAGCAGAACCCTTTCAGTGGATACAGGATTCAAAGCCCTGCACCCATATGCTTGTCTCAATCAAGAATGGAAAAACGGCAAATGAGATAACTGAACCAAGAATAGTTCAAACAGCATCTAGAATAGGGAAAAACCGTGCGGATGGATATCACTTATCAGCTAAACGCATATGAATGCAATATACAGCCACCTGTGGAGAGACTCTCAGCAGAATTCACATCGGAATATAGCACTCTAACCGAAGCTTCAGCCAAAGAAAACAGACATGAACAACAAAAATCGAGCAACTGAGACAAGCAGTCCCAGACAAGAAACAAAACCTTCTTGAGGAACCGACAGCACTACATCTGGAAAACAGATTCCAGAAACAAGGAGCAGAGGTACAGGAGCAGGTCTGCTAACGACCACCAGCAAAAGCAGCACATGAGAGGGACAAAACTAACAGCCAACAATTACTTAAGAAATGTTCACTACAATTTCAGCGACATCCAATCACTAAGGATTCGGGGCAAAGAACAAAATCTTGAATGCTCTGAACCAGAGATGGCCAAAGCGAATTAGCCCATACTCCTATCTGAACCATAGCTAAATAAAAAATCTGATCCGCCGAAAAAGAGCTCCCCTGAAACCTGATTTTGTTTCTGCACAACCAAATATTCCAGATCAAACCAAAGAAACCAAGTTTCCATAGAGCACGAAATGTCTTCTTGATTTTCTGTGAAACCCAAACCTGCAACAAATCCTTGACATTGCAAGGAAACACGATACTAATATGCCACACCGAACACCAACGTTGCCAAAGCTTCCAGACACGCTCGCAATGACACAGAACATGATTAATAGTTTCAGGAACTCAATTGCAGAAAGAACAAAGAGAATTAACAGAACTAATAACACCTCTATTTTTCAGCTCTGTGGAAACTGGCAACCTTTGATGCACTGCTTTCCACACAAAATCAGAAACTTTTGGAGGAACAAATTTACACCAAAACGCTTTCCAAATTGAATCTTCCATCTTGCCCGCAGAAGCCAGCTTAGAACAAAACGATTTAGATGTATATCTACCATCAGCTGCGCCTAACCAATTCAATCTGTCAAGCGCAGGGACTAAACTGACCGCTCTGTTAATGACCACTACAAATTCTGACCAGAGAACTTTTTCCCATTCAAAAAGCTTGCTCCTCAACTCAATCTTCCAAACCCATACTTCATTCTCCCAATTCCCAAATTCATTAATTTTTCCAAATTTTTTTAACGCCAAACCAAAAATTCTAGGAAAGGAAGTTTGTAGTGAAAACATTTCAGTCCAGTGATCAGACTAGAAAACAATTCTGGTACCATCTCCCATAGTGCAAATAAAATCAGTAAACAAATTCCCCTCATTGGAAATGACCGGGTTGACAATAGTACGCCACACCCCAAGAAGATTTACGATTACTTACCACTTCTGGAACAATAGAGTCATGAGTGTACTTGTACTTGGCAACAATAATTTTTTCCAAAGACTGTCATTCTCCTCACCAAACCGTCAAATCCACTTATTAAGCAACGCTCGATTCCTAATTTTGATATCATAAACACCCAGACCCCCATGAGATTTTTGCCCACATATAGTTTCCCACTTTATCCAATGAATTCCCCTCTCCGAATTACCCTTCCAAACAAAAGAAACTATGAATTTGTTAATAGTATCAGCGATGAACTTGGGAATAGGGAATAGAGACATATAATACACAGGTAAATTAGATAACCCGGATTTAATCAGAGTAAGCCTACCCGCAAAGGATAAAAATATGCCTTTCCAGCTCTGCAATCGAGACTTTATCCTATCCAACACCGGTGCCACAAGGACTTTGAATTCTTTTTGTGACCTAATGGAAGACCCAAGTATGTCGTAAGAAGCGTAGTCCATCCGCAATTAATAGTTTCCGCCCATCTACTAATTCTTCTTTCGTCAACATTGATACCACAAATCTTGGACTTATTCATATTTAATTTTAAACCCGCCGCCAACTCAAATATTTTAAGAACACGATTGTAATTCTTTAAACTGCTTTCATTTGCTGCCGAAAATAACAAAAGGTCATCTGCAAATTGAATATGCGATATTTCTACACTTTCAGACCCAACTCCAACACCACCACACAACTCGCTAGCAATCATTTTCTTCAATAAACCACTAAGCGCCTCCCCCCACAACATTAAATAGCAGCGGCGATAATGGGCATCCTTGCCTTAGACCCCCTCTTAATAGAGAAACTGTTAGAAGGGCATACATTAACTAGAACGGAAATGGTCAGAGACGAAATATAGAAATAGACCCATTTTTTCCATCTTTTTCCGAAACTCATTTTCTTTAGGATTAGGAGCAGAAAATTCCAGTCCACTGTATCATAAGCTTTACTAAAATCTGCCTTAAAAAGCACATCCTC